ACAGTCAGTAACAAACTTAATAATTGATATTGTTCCGTGAAGACATGGTAATGCTATTATATATTGTTGACACGACTGTAGCGTTTACACCGTTCTGAGTTTGAAGGATTGGATAAATTATTTTATTAAATTCTTTTCGTATAGCCTGGTCGCTGCTTAGATCTAGTAACGGTCGTGAAAATTTGGTGGCGATTTCTTTTAAAAGCCTTGTAACGGTGAATCAACTAGTAGAAAATAAGTAATTAAGTTTTAAGAATCATATTTTAATTTTTTAAAAAAATCAAATTATAAATGAAGTACAATGGTCACGCTGTGGTCACTTGCTAGATTGTATCTAAAGCCCTACAAATTTTAGATTTTCAATAATAAAAATAACTAAATTTATAAATGAACTTCACAATGTTTCCAATGTATATGTATTAGTATACTTTAAAAAGTTTCCGTTGAAATTTCACAGTATTTTGACATAATTAAAGATCGAGTTTTGGTATAGAGAACAATCTAAACTAGTATTAATTGTAACGGGACCGTTACAGATGTTCCCCAAACGCTCCCCAACTTCCTTTTGGTGTCTCATTCCCTATAAGCTTCATTAAATAAGGCAATCAAGTATATTGGGTTTTTTTACGCGTTACTCGATCGCGCACGGGCATGCATGTACAAAATGACCATGTCAACTTGTCTACACTTTTAAAACATCTTTATTTTCAAATTTCATCAAAAGATAAACAAAAAAATTCGGCTATATTAAGTATATCTGTCATTTTACACATTGCAAGCGCGCGCACGTGCATGCATGTCCATGATGACCGTGTCTTCTTGTCAACACTATTAATATATCTACATATTATGAGTATCAAAGCATTTCATCAAAAAGTATAAAAGTTACAGCTATATCAAGTATATTGGTCATTTTAGCATTGCATGCGCGCGCACGTGCATGCAAGTTCATATTGACAATGTCGTCTTGTCTACATTTATAATATGTCTATATTTTCTGAGTATCAAAGCATTACATCAAAAAATGTAAAAGTTATGGTTATATCAAGTATATTGGTAATTTTACTCATTGCACGCGTACACACGTGCATGCATGTGTGCGCTGACCATATCATCTAATGTACATTTCTAATATATATTTATATTCTGAGTTTCAAAGCAATTCATCAAAAAATGTACAAGTTAAGTCTATATCATTTGCATTGGTTATTTCAATCATTGCGCATGCGCAAACGTGCATGCATGTGCATTCTGACCATGTCATCTTGTCTACACTTTTAATATATCCTGATATCCTGAGTATCAAAGCATTTCATCAAAAGATGTGAAAGTTATGGCTATATCAAGTATATCTGTCATTTAACTCATTGCACGCGCGCGCACGTGCATGCACGTGCATGCATGTGTGCGCTGATCAAGTCTTCTTGTCTAAACTTCTAATATATATTTATATTCTGAGTTTCAAAGGAATTCATCAAAAAATGTACAAGTAAAGTCTATATCAATTGTATTGGTAATTTCAATCAATGCGCATTCGCGCACGTGCATGCATGCGCATTCTGACCATGTCATCTTGTCAACACTATCAATATATCCTTATATTCTGAGTTTCAAAGCATTTCATCAAAAAATATAAAAGTTACAGCTATATAAAATATATTGGTCATTTTACGCATTGCACGCGCACGCACGTGCATGCACGTGCGCGCAAAATGACCTTCGTTCCGCAAATCTACATAACATTCCTATTAACCCTAAAAAGGTTTCACCTCAATCGGATGTGTAGTTTCGGAGATCACTCACGGACAAAAAAGTACCCAGGAAGAAAAATAAGAAGAAGAAGAAGAAGAAGAAACAGAGTAAAAACAATATGTTCCCAAACTTCGTTTGGGGAACATAATTATAAAGCACGCCCGACTCCAAAAGCTACAAGTCGAAAAATAAAGTAACGACTAACCTTTTAGACAATTATGACGTATATGACGAAACGTGACGCAACGCCACCAACAACGTCGAATAATTTACCGTAAAAAATGCACATCGAATGTGAAACTGGAAATTAAAGAAAGTGAAAATACAATGATAATACTTAAGCACACGGGATAAAATAATAAGGTAATACAATGAATGGAGTAAAAGTAATGCATTATAAACATGTTATGATCAACAATGATTCCTATTGCTATGAAATAGGTGTGACAATATTGAAGTAAACAACAAGTAATAACAGTAAATAAAATATTCCTTAACTAGTTGCATTATCTATTCGGTACATTATTATTTACTTGTTTATGTTGTTTGGGTCTGGGTTTGACACATGGTCCAAGGAGAGTACAAGCCCGTAGGAAGCAATTTCAGTTTGTTTTTTTTTTTGTTTTTTTTTTTGGGGGGGGGGGGGGCACAGCCTTACATTTTCAGTTGAGGGGCACTATCAACTACCAAATATTCCTTGACAAGAAAAAAAGATCATCAGACGTTTTTATTGAGGGGCACAAGCATACAGTATCTATTTTTTCTATATCGGCAAAATTATTGGGGGGACGGGGGGGGGGGCACGGGGCGTCCCGTAACCCCTACCCCCATCCACGGTTCTAACGGCCATGGAGTAAGCATTCCGACCGATAACGCCGGCAGTGACCCCTATGTATTAATCCGTAATATTTACATTTGCAAATATTTTTCTAAGATGAACCTATTGAAGAGAAAATATGTTCAATTCCGTATGAACCTTTTCAACGGGTCAGAGGTCATAACGTGACCGAATCACACGGGGCCAATATGAATTGTCACAGATCGGCGTACCCCGAATTGCGCCGGTCATATGACCGGCGTAAACATGAAAAAACGGCTAAATGGCAAATGAAGTAAACCGGCGAAAACAAAAATTAATTATACTCAATATTGATCAGTTAATTAGATGTATCACTCTTTAGATTATGTTTTAGCGGGAAAAAAGTTGAATAATTTGAAATTCAATGAAAAAGAAAATCATGTATTTCATGAAAATTGTTATTTTTAGGAAATAACAGATTTTAAAAATATACGAGGGTTGTTAAAAAAGTTCGCGGACACATTGATTTACGGAAAATCTATTGTGTACTGTGAAGTATGACTTATGTCTGATTAAATTCCTATATTTTGTTTAATAGTATGTAAAAAAAATCAGGTCCATTTACTAAAATGTTGAAAATTTACAACAATTTTTACTATGCGGTCATAGGATTCACGGAGCAATCACTTGACGTTAAGTGACGTGACAAACAGATTTCAAACCCATTAAGCTTTTTCATAGTTCTAAATATCTTTCATTTCTTTCGACTTTTCTCGTCTTTTTTCTACTTAAAAATTAAATATCTATATCAAGACATGTTACTTTTCTTCTATAAAGTCTTTTGTGCTGTTTCGGATATTAGTGAGATCTTAAAATAAATGTCCACGCAGTTAAGAAATCAGATATGGAAACAATGCAAAATCCATAGGCGGCAACGTCCATGCGATAAGTGGGGCATTGAGGTATCGATGGAGTTGATCATGAAAAATGTTAATCCTTCCATTCTTAAAAAGCTACTACCATTTGAATACCTTTGTCCTTTGTACATGTAGGCAATTTTCAGCAACATCTAGAAGCATTTTAGTCTATTTTTAGACATTTTCCTGTCTGCAAATATAATTTTTTAGTAGCTCGGTGCTCCATGACGTTCAATGACGTTCCCATTCTTGGCTTTGTTTTTACGCGTTGATTATTTGTAAATGGCTATAAAACAGTCATACAACCTCCAATTTAATTCAAAATTTCGGCAAGTGACGTTTAATTAATACTGTAGCGACAGGTAAAATATCATAATTCTTTCTGCGCTACAACTGCGCAATTTTTAATTTCAATAAAAAGTCTATGTAATGTATACGTGCGAAAAAGTAGCATGCTCCGTGAAGCATGTTTTATCAAAATAATATAGCTGTATGTTTTTTAAGGATCACCGGAAAACAACAAATCTTTGTATATTTATTGGAAAATAGGTAAAGTTTTTATCTGGAGAGTTTAACCGGTTTCATGGAAATAGCGCGCTCACAATAGAACTTGTCCGCGAACTTTTCTAACAACCCTCGTACATGGGCATTTGTTGATTGATTGATTGTATATTGTTTTACATCCCATTCGAGAATTTTTCACTCATATAGAGACGTCACCATATACCGGTGAAGGGCTTCAAATTTTTACCTTTACTCGGCACTCAGGGCCATTGAGAAGTGAGGGATCTTTATCGTGCCAACGCCTGCCCTGACACGGGGCCTCGGTTTTTAAGGTCTCATCCGAAAGACCCGCAACTTTCACTTCAAAGTGCCGAGCGCATGGCGAAGGAACAGTTGCTACCTATTTTTTATCGACTTAGGTCTGTCGCGGCCGAGATTCGAACTCACGACCTCCCGATCACGAAGCGGGCGCTATACCGACTGAGCTACCGTGAACGGTGGGCATTTGTTGAAGAAATGCAAATAAATAAAGAACATGCTAATTTGCTAAAAGTATATGCATTTTAACACTCGATATATTTTACCACCTTATCTCTTACACCGGCGAATTCCTCGCCGGTCGTTTCTAACCGGCGAGATCGGCGTACGCCGGCGAACATTCCCCTGTCCGTCGCCTTGGCTAGTTGGTTAGTACATGTCCCAGTAACAAAATGGTATAAAAGAAATTTAAGATGATAAATTTATAAATGTATCAATCCCGAATTAAAGTTAGTTATGGTTTAATAAATCTGTTTTTCTTCTCTTCATTATTTTCTTTCTATTGTAACCTTTATCCTCTTTGAACAATAGTAAATATACATATATATTGTAGACAAAGGTACACTGTACATTGTTATTTTGGACAAACAACATACAGATACGGGAGAAAATATTTTCTCGAAATTAATGCATTTTGTGTAAGTATTTGTTTGGAAGAATTCATTTCTATGATCTGGAAATTACTTGCCTAAGAATATCTTGTGTTAATGTTAATAAAGAAATCTATCCGTCATCTTTGAAAATATTCTCTTCTCCCCAGAAGCAAAATCAACAATATTGCCGAAACGCATTACTGCCTGAAAAGTTTTACATTGAATATCTGTCGTCTTCATTAGATCATAGTTTATGACTACTAATTCCTTCCTAGAGTCAGATAAGTAACTGTCCCAGATACACTTCCAGTCATTCTGTGTCTGTAAAGAGTCCTCGTCGAAGTAGTGGTCAGATAGGAAGACGATGTAGTATCTAGAGATAGATATCTGCCATGCCGTCTCATCCGATCTAATACAGCCCAGAGGTAAGTCACGTGATGGGATGAATGCACTCAATTCATTTCTTCTTAAGAATGGTTCGAGTCTTTTTATCAGCCACGAATTTAAATCTTTTATATTTTCGTCATATGAAATGTAAACCACACAGTCTTCGTCCAGAGTTTTCTTGGACTTTGAACACATTTTCCTTGATCGTAGAATGACCTTCAAATCAAACCTCCAGATCTGAGCAAAAATAAAAAGTGTGAATGCAAACACAATAGCTGAAGAACATGACAATATGACGATATATTTAGGATGTTGATCAGAGTCTCTGCAATCAAGATTTGGAAGATACTGTGTCAATAGTTCCTCGCCATCTTCTTTTAAACAAGTAAAAATGTATGGCGTGCAATTCCTCACTTGTTTTGTTTGAATCCAATCATACATCCAAAGGTCTGAACAAGTGCAATCTATAAGAAAATTCCCCCGCTGAAGAAATACACACGGATCCAGAAATGAAAGTTTTCGAGGAATTCCATGCAGCTGTTGGGATCTTGGAATAGAGAACACACGCAGATGAGTAAGGTTCTCCAGGGCTTCCATTTCAAAAGTAGGTATAAACGCTAAGTCAAGAACAGTGATGAGTTCCATATAATGTTCCTTTGTAATTTCTTCAATTGGATTTCCTCTCAAATAGAACTCAATTTCTTCACTTTCGGGAAGGATATGTGGAAGACGTTTTAGTCCAGCTCCTATACAGTTCATATGAAGAATGAGTTTAATGTCTTCTTTTGCTAAGCTGTAATTGTCTGGTTTTTCTATACAGGAACACCCTGGAGGACAAACAGGCTGTGAAGTGTAATTACAAATCAGGTCTGCTATTTGTCCATTCTTTATGATGCTTGGTATAGTTCTTCCTTGTAAAGCATTTGGAGATCCACAGGTTATATTAAAGTAATCTCTCTCCATTATTCCAATATATTGTTTGAAAAGCAAAACAGGTTTTGCAATTCTACAATTGCATATAAGAGGATTTTTTCGTACATCAAATCCGAAGAAAAATAATTTTCCTAAATCAGAGAGTGTTGCAAAACCCAATTTTTTTACATTAGGCATTTCTTTGAACCGATTTTGTGAAAAATCTACAAAACCTGGACCATATGTTTTGTTTGGATTCATTTCCCATTTGTGTTTATTTGTACCCGCACTCAGACTGTTGTTCGATAAACCAATAAAACAAAATGGTCTTTCAAAAATAATATCTGTGATGTCAACAGATATTAGAAAATTTCCTTTCAAGATAATAACATGAGAAGTCATTGATGCCAAAGCCCCAGTTTCAATATAACTAATTGAATTATGAGACAAGTTAACAAACCTCAAATTCCTATTTCCAGCCAGCGAAAATTTTTTTAAAGCTGTTAATGAATTCCATGACAAATCTAGATGTGTCAAATTTGCAAGGCAAGTCAGATTTGGTATTTCCGGAATCAAATTGTGGGATAAATTGACTCTTATTATTCCTGGAAAATCACACAAATTTGGGAGGCAGGATAGATTTGGTATTTGTAAAATAGGATTGTTTGATGAATTTGTTTGACGTATATTTCTCGGAAAGCATTGCAAATGCTTGTAAGAATATTCTAAAACTATATTTTCAGCAGATTTATTGCCTTCCAAATATCCATCTTTTGAAATATTTAAATAAAGAAGATTTGGATTATAATCCAGAATACTTTTTGCGTAACAAGCACAACATCCGTCTGTTGTTGTTCCAGTGGACCAAATGTCTTTGCACATATTTGGACAGTACAGCGGCAACCCATCCCAGCCCTGAGGAACCCATCTAAATGTATCATTTGTTGAAGATTTTCCAGAACAAAACAAAATCCAAGGCAGAAACAGTGTTACAAATAAACAAAGGTGCCTGTGGGACATGCTAATTTGATTAGTAGAACTCGCAGCTGATCTGTACATATAATATGGCGCTCTTTAAAGCTAAAATGTGAGTCAATCCTCTTTCTAAATACTTCCTTAGTGTAACTGGAAGTACTTAAATTTGGGTCGGGAAGTACTTAAAATTTATCATATTACTGTAACGAGTATATACTTTAATACTGTGTATATATATATATATAAAATAAAATATTGTATGTTTGATAATATTTAAAGCAGTTGCAAATTATCAGAAGATCCTGTTCAATATAATGACCATATATAACCATGATAACTTACCAGTAATTTACTGAAATAATTCTTAAGTGACAGTTTTTGGAAATTTCACTTTTTTCAATGATGACTACCAAATTATAAGGGACTTAGATTAGTCTTGTTTACCTGCAAGGGCAGATGTACATTGTTATCCTATTTTATAATAATATTTCTTTTTGACACCACCTAATATGTACATAAAATTTTCTGAAGGTATGGCTACTTAATTTTAAGAGACTTATTCTAGTTTAAGTCTCTAAACATGCTGGTGAGCATGTGGTTGGGGCTTTTTTAGGACAGATATACATTGTTATTCTATTTATAATTATATTTCTCCTTCAACTTATCATATTAAACCTGCTTTAGCATTTCCTGATAAGACGCTTTGTGTAGTTTCATGTATTAGAGTGTATATAGCAAAAACGGGAAAATACAGAGGTAATGGAAATAGAAAACTTCTGCTGACAACCCAAAAGCCGTTCCGAGAGGCATCCAAGGACAGTATTTCTCGCTGGATAAGAACTCTGTTATTTATATATGGCATTGATACTAGCAAGTTTTCTGGACATAGCACTTGCGCTGCTGAAAGCGCAATCGCACGTTCTTCAGGAATATCAGTTGACAATATTTTATCACATGTTGGTTGGTCTAATGAGAATACATTTGCCAAATTTTATGACAAAACTTAGATAATGATAAAAATTTTCAGTCTGTAAACTTGTCATCAACATGTAGCATAGATGATTAGAATATTCAATAAATCTTTGACATTTTTAGGAATCTCTCTGCTTTGTATTATTTCTATTTTCAATATGTGAATATTTGTTTTAGACATCTCACGTGATACCCACGTGACTTTGTGATGAAGGAGAATTAGAAAATTAAAGGAGACTTACCTGTATGGTGAATTTTAATTAGAATTCTCCGAAGCACCAAGGAACGTTGGGTATTACGTGCCCACCCTTGATCTCCCTCTCATGGGAACGAGGGTGATTTATATAAATAAATCAATATTTAGCATTTTAAAATTGCATTTTATTTTAACTCAAAAATAGTCACATATTGAGTTAAATACTGATCTTGGAGTAGGCTTGCATATCTCACATAATGCCAAAGTTCCCTGGTGCTTCGGAGAATTCTAATTAAAGTTCACCTTACAGGTAAGTCTCCTTAAATTTTCTAATTCTTTTTCACACCACCTATTATATACGTAAAATTTTCTGAAAATATTTACATGACCTGTGATTCCATAAATAAAATGTAGCCTAACAACAAAAGGGTATTTTTTGATATTTTTTTTTCAAATGAAATATTGTGGAATTTTATTTGTGTTCTGAAGACCACGATGTAATGTTGGTAGTTAGGAGTACGTGGTCCCATTTATTTAGATGATCAGTACATCTAAAACGTCAGTATCGTTCATCATCTGTTTCATTCAGTCTCAACAACATTTTACAATATATATATGTACTTTATTTTGTCTAAATAGTCTATTTTATGAATGTACAGAATGAATTATTGATGTTGATTAGAATTTGAATTATAAAGAGTGTCAGAATGCGATGTAGATGTCGCATAGAAATTGTAATCGTATAAATCTTTCGGAATTGTGTAGTCATAAATTGAACCGTGCAGCACATATAATCTCCATATATTTCATCTTGGATTGTAACAAAATGGCTTAATATTCTTTCCTAAAAGAAAGAATAATTTTGTATTCAATACAACAGTATCAATATTATGAAGTATATTGCAATATCCTTTTTCTTAAATCTTTATAACTCAATTGGCGCACTTCATGTCTTAGAATGCATATATATGAAATTGCCAGTACAATAATGAGACCTATGTATTTGTCAATAACGTCAAAATACACAACTGGTCTAGAAGATGGAACAATTTCTCTTGATTGTGCTATATATAGAGAACATATTGGGTAGGGAATTCGGAAATATGGCCAGCAAAAAACGTCAAAAATTTCTGATGATGTCAATATGTAATTTTTTTTTCTAGAATTTGTTCAATGAGATGAAAAAAAAGGAGAAATAACGATTGCCATTTTGAACAAGATAAATGAAGTTTATAAAATAGACATAATATATCAAAAAATGGTAGATTGTTTGAAATACCAAAAAACAACCCATTTTTTAAAAACATCGAAGATTTTCAGTAGTGTAGAAAACAGGCAAGGCTAAAGACTGATGAAAAATAATAGAAGGGAAACTTAAGGATTAATGATTTACAAATGCTAACAATTAAGGAAAGGATTACTTTTAATTTTTATAAACTGTGAAAAGAAAATAATTGATATCCTATGTAAAAGACGATAGCAGAAAAAGCCGATTGTTGTCCGTTGATGCTACCGAAAAACACACATATTATGGAGCAAAGAGCGAAATAATTGAACTGTGGATTATCATTAGAAAAACTAGGTTTTCAGTAATGTATGCCAGTGATAATTGGAAATAATAATTAATAGCATGTACGTATACATTTTGCGAAAGGCCGACGAAAACGACCACCACGATCTCGTGTTTGTGCCATCGAAGACCCAACTATTTTTTATAACCTTGGGTTTGGCATGTTACAGAGTTGCAGGAAATTTGACGAGTGTAAATTTAAATATTAACTCTTAAAAATATATTTATAAATATATTAGAAAACTATTTGTAACCTGTTATTGCTCGAAATTTTCCTGATTGGAATGAAATATATGGAGATGACGAACAGTATTCAAGCTCAAAAGTCCATTAAACAATACAAAATAGGAGCAGAGCAAACACGGACCTCCAAACATCAGAGGTGGGATCAGGTGCCATGGAGGAGTGAGCATCCCCTGCCGACCGGTCACACCCGCCGTGTGCTCCTTGTCATGATCGGGAAATAACGGAAAAATCCGTCGACAATTAAGTGTGTAAATAATGGCCTAACAATTAGTATGAAAAACGTCAGTCAGCATTTGAGGAATTACATTTTTCATAATGACAATGTCCACTTACATCGATCCCCATCACGATGTCTTTATGGAAGAAAAGAAAATTATTACTAAAACTTGGGCAATACAGTCTCTAGAAATAAATATTTTAGAAAATATTGGTTACGATTAAAAGAAATTTGCTGTCCGTCAAAAATACCATCTCAACTTGTGAACAACTGATGTCGAAAGGAACACTTTTCTGGAAAAACGTAATATACATTATATTCAGCAGCTTTATTTACCAATTCCCGAAGGACAACGAGAGGTAATAAGGGTCATCTCACAAAATATTAGAGTATTACAATTAATAAATTCAGGAGGACGAATTTTGATGAGTAGCTAATGTAATGAAACATAAAGAGCAAACATAGACCTCTCAAAAGTTCAGAGGGGGGATCAGGTGCCATGGAAGAGAAAGCATTCCCTATCGACCGGTCACACACGCCGTATGCTCCTTGTCATGATCGGGAAAACAGGAAAATCCTAGACAATTCAGTGTGAAAATAATGGAATAACAATTAATATCAAAAAAGTCAGTCTACATTCGACTTAATCATAGATTGTATTCGTTGACAAGGTCATTGTATCAACAGTAGAATTTGCAAAATATTGACTTTAAACGAGACTGTTCTTATTCTTGTTTCATAAAATTATTTGTTAATACCTTGCCTCGTTTTAGAAATTGTTCTTACGTTTGTTAGTTTTTATTGTTTAACGCCCCTCTCGAGAATTTTTCACTCATATGGAGACACCAGCACTTACCGGTGGAGAGCTGCAAATT